GGACATTTTGCGACAGTAGCATGAACAGCGTCGGCAATCTGTTTGAGGGAAAGTCTGCTGATATGGCCTTGGTATTCGGGATTTGCGCTGGCTCTTCTTATACAAGCAACCAAGGACCGGCAAGACGCACCAAAGCGTAATTACCGCAAAAAAAATATGGGATAGAAGAAAATACCTTGTGTTGGATGCTCACGTTTCAGACTTAAACTTAAAAAACTAAGACGCAAGCTTGCAGATATAAAAAAAATTAGTGAAACTGAAGAATGACAAGCAAAAGAAGGTTAATAGTGTTTGAGTCAGGAAGGCAAAGCGCAAAACGCAAAAAAGTGCAGAATAATATAGCTTCAAAGGCATCGTAATGTACAGGTCATGACCAAATAGATACAGATACGGGTACCATCAACGGCAGGATAACGATACTAAGGCGTCTGATAGAGGCAGATAGGATTTCTCTGCCAGAACACCGAAGAAAGGACACACAAATATTACCTGTCGAAGTAAATAATGGCGCAGGATCTAGCTTGCCTGCATTCGTAAATGTAAATGACGAGATTTCGTTTGCGTCAAGAAAGGATATAACTAGACCGTCCGAACTGCCGCTGCCCTCAAATTACCTCAGCTATCCAGAGTCTTCTACAGGACACCTAGCTGAATGGAGTGAAAAAACTCACAGCTAAGGGAATCGGAAAGTCCATAACGGGGATTTGAATTCAAAAACAGAAATGGATCTTTCGGAGCCTTCAATCTGCAGTGTATCCGGGGGAAAACTGAAGGATTCACTCGATCGCCAGATCCGTATAGACGTTTAAAGTTTGTCTGAATCGAATGCTTCTACGTCAAAGGAAAGGATTTCCACTGACGTTGTTATTTTCCAGCACTTGCTGCACAACGTTCTGTATCCAAACGAGAGAGTGGTCGTTCGCGAAGCCCTCAGGATCGAAAAAAATGCTGGCGAACAGTCGGGAACTGTAGTATCACGGCCTAGTAAAATTGTTTCGAGCGGCAAAGAAGAGACCGGTTTGCTTCTTTCCAGAAAACGCAGTCTCACAATCTCCCGTAAGGGTTGTTTTCAGCAGGACTTCTCTCAGTCGTAACGTCTGAACCATCGCGAATTGGTGACGGAGCTGAAAAGAAAACTTGCAGTTCGAAAGGGAAATTCGACTAATTTTAGAGACGAGTAATACAGAGGAACACAGTATTGCAATGTAACTAACTAATACCAATGATGGCAGCGGCAACATAGTAGTGATAGGCTTGAGAATAATTAAACTTTACGCTGCCGAATGTTCCAAACTAAAACTCTGGTATGCCAACGACCAGAGTCTGCTTTTGGAGTTCGACAAACTGAGAATACGCGTAACCGATACCTCCAGATGTTAGAGCAACGAGAGAAACATGGCTATCACAGCGCGTCAGCGACGATTAAATAGCGCTACTGGAAAGGACAGAAAGGAAAAGCCTAAATGTCTTTAAGAGGACTAAGAAAATTACTGACCACACAAAAGCTAACTGGCTGAGAACAAAAGAACGGAGATACCAGCCCCTTGAAGTTGTGACCGTATACCGGTCGCCGAGAATGGATCCAGATGCAGATACCTGCCTGCTGAAGAACATAAAGGAGGTTGCTAGTTGACCGGTTTTCTTCTTATTGGTAACCTCGACGACTCTGCATTCGATAGAAAGAAATACAAAGGAAATCTCGATCACCTTCTTCCAAATACGAAATCTGAAGCTCTTCTCACACAGTATGTCCTAGTTTCAACAAGAACGGGTGGAAGGCAACACGCCAGTTTTTGGATCTCGATGTCACAAACATATTCTGACAGAATTGGCATGGTATACTGTTTATGACTTCTCGGCCGAAGTAATCATTGCTATGTTTTTATGGAAGTACTGTCTATACTCTGTACCATATTCAATGAACTGCATGATGTCAAATATGCGACTCCATAAAGGCAATTTCATAACATTTAAAAATAAATTTTCTAAGTGAATTTGGGGACAAAGTGTTCTGTTGTTGGTCATAAAATAGAAAGCTTGGCGTGTAAAACTGTTATCGGACAGGGGAAAAGCTTTGTTTTCTCGAAAAAGGTCAGATGAGTGGAATACATTTGTTTTAAGAAGAAAAACTGTCGCCAGTGGGGAGGTAGGTGGGCGAGTCGCACAGGGCCGTCCTGCATGTAAGTGTACATAAATTTTCCTCGTCAATATTTAATTCCTAAACCGGGTGAGGCTCTTCGCTGCAGACGAGATCCCGATATTTTTGGGCCGACGACAGACACAATCGTCAGGGTGGCAAGACAGGACGGAATCAACGCGACTGGTGACAGTCCGCTTAGAGTCCAGGCAAGGAAAGGATACTTAAGGCTGTGGAAGACATCAAAGCGCAGGGAGATGAAATCATGATACCACTTTACCGACCGACCAAGCTACTAGCAGATGTCGAAAACAGGTCAGCCGTGATCTTCAACAGATAATATTTGGTCGAAATGGGAAAGATGACATTAAAATCCGCGAAAATGATCGTTCGCCTAGGCGTTAAGAGGGGTAGGGTAAATTGTTTACAGGGACAGGGTGAGAGCATGGAAATGGTAGGTGGTGGCAAACCCAGGCTAGGACTAGCGTTGGGGCTAAGGGCTCGGAATCTCAGAGACCAGTACTGATTCATGATGAGGGTCTGTATTAGGCGAAACGGGGCCGGCGTAGAACGTGCACGTCAACGTGGCCCCGGTACTTTTTGAGAGAATGTGTCAGGAAGGATATCGCGTTCTGTGAAGGACACAATGCATGAACAAAAAGTCGAAACTTCTCATGAGAGATCATAAAATAGAAACCACACATGGAGAGAGGAATGTGAGCAGGTACGATAATTCGGTGGTGGCGTTCTTGATCCAAGATGGTCCTTTCTCAAAGTCATAGAAGCAGCCCTAGAGATCAAATTTCGTAAGCTACCTGCTCCAATGTCATCCAAGAACGACAAATTGGTGCACAACCTGTCGTCAAAGGAGCTGACGGAGGAACACATGCAGGTTTTACGGCATGAGGCCTCATTCAACACAGCCGATGCCAAACCTGCCAACATGATCGCAGCAGTGGAATCAATCCTCAGACAGACGGGAGCGACAGACGAAACGAAGAACCTCATTCGACACCAAGTGTCCTCCCTCCTCATGGCTCATGGGCCGCGCGACGTGCTTTCCAAGGTCGAGCGTGATGCACTTAAGGAACTCAGGGCCGACAACGACCTCGTTATCGTGCCTGCGGACAAGGGACGTTCAACGGTCGTATTGGACAGGACAGACTACAATCAAAAAGCCAAAAGCTTGTTGGAGGATCGTCAGTCCTATGTTCCATGCGAATCCGACCCCATGAAAACGCTGACACGCGAGATTAACGCGACGCTGTTGGCAATGGAGAACTCAAGTGCAATATCGCCAATCGACCGACGCATGGCGAGAGCACAAGAAACGGCCCTAGCCCGATTCTACGGTCTCCCAAAAGTGCACAAAGAGGGCGTTCCTCTCCGGCCTATCGTATCACTAAAGGGCACTCCAACCTACGGACTGGTTAAGTGGCTGTTCCAAAGTCTCAAGTTTCTGACCTCCGACTCGAACACCACAGTCAGCTCGTCAACGCAATTCTTGGAGAAGCTTAAAGGAGTAAGTCTCCTGCCAAGCGATATCATGGTTTCCTTTGATGTCACGTCCCTTTTTACTTCTATCCCACAGGACCTGGCAGTCGAGACAATCGAACTACTCCTACGAGAGAAGTACGACGAAACGGAGAATCGCCTCGGACACGCCCAAATCATCCAGCTCCTGAAGTTCTGTCTCAAGACGTACTTTACGTTCGACGGAACAATCTACGAGCAGGTGAAGGGAACGCCAATGGGTTCGCCGATTTCGGGACTCATAGCCGAGGCGGTCCTACAACGGCTGGAGTCGCTGGTTTTCCGACACCACCGACTGAAATTTTGGGCTCGGTATGTGGATGACACCTTCGTCGTCATCGAACGGGATCAGGTGCTGACGTTCAAAGAACAACTCAACGCCGTCTTCTCGGACATTCAATTTACGATGGAGGAGGAGAAAAACAATCAACTGGCCTTCCTGGATGTCCTCGTCTGCCGCAAAGATTGTGGTGGCCTAAAGACCAAAGTGTTCAGGAAAGCGACAAATACGACGCAAATACTGAACTTTAATAGCAACCACCCGATCAGTCACAAACGCAGTTGCGTAAGGGCGCTATACCGGCGCGTTGAGACGCACTGCAGTGAAATGGAAGACAAGGTTGCTGAACTACAATATCTTCGACGGGTAATGAGAGCCAATGGTTACCCGCGCAACTTTGTCAACCAATGCATACGAAAAGGACACCAGAGACCAAGTCCAACCGGACCCAAATTTTGGCGGGCTCTTCCGTACGTGAAGAACGTCTCGGAAGCCGTCAGTCGTCTTCTCACTCCACTTGGAGTTGGGGTTGCACACAGGCCGGAAGCAACCATTAGGCGCCAAGTCATGAGGCCAAAAGACCCGCTGCCAAGGCAGGACACGTCTGGAGTCATTTACCGGATCTGGTGTAGTTGCGGACAAAGCAATTATGTCGGAGAAACTGGGAGATTACTCCGTACGCGAACTGCCGAGCACGCAACAGCAGTGAGGCGGGGAGACGCTAACTCTCAAGTGGCGGCACACTCGACGGGACCCGGCCATATTTTCAAATTTCAAGAGGCCGAAATCCTCGCAAGGGGTGACAACCGCGTGAGCCGCGAGCTGCTCGAGTCATGGTTCTCAGGCCCGCAATCCATCAAAAAGCACAATGACCTCCCGGTACCCTATGGCGTACTGCGATTTTCCCTGGGCAGGAGAATCAGTCACGTGGGGAGGGCGCGGGCGAGCAATCATCGCGGTGACAGTAAGCCAGTTTGCCGAGCAATCGTCACACCAGCATCCAGCACGGATGACGAAATCGCGGCCATTAACAACTCGGACTCGGACCGACAAGCCACCACCGCATCAATTACGACCCCAGCGGTGATTACGAATACTGTTAATTGCAGTGCGCATACGGTCCCACGGCAGCCACGTGCTATAAATACTGCACTCCTGGTGCCACCATCACCTTTATCTGCGAATTTTTCTGATGATGGATTCGAGTGAGGATCCGAAACGTCAGGCCAATAAATTTCTTGTTCCGGTGATCGCATCTTCATCTTCTGAACTGCTACCTGGAACTCGCCTGTTCGCTTCTATCAACTGTCAGGATCTTTGGTGAAGACGAGGTCCAGACAACTAGCCTGTTGCCCTCCACGTGCTCCAGTTGGAGATAGGACACGTTGCGTGAGAAGAGCCTCTAGGGTTGTCTTTAATAGACGGTAATCTAAGGCATTCTTCGAGCACTTCGCATGCATATCGCTCCATTGAATGCAGGGTTCATGAAAATCCCCCATGAGAACAACGTCTGATCGACTGGCGATCTCTTTTATGCTTTCTAGCAGACAATTATCTGAGTCGGGATCCGCCTGAGATGGCCGGTAGATAGTTAGGACTTCGAGGGACTGAGACCCCCGTGCCTTTATAGTCAGCCAAATTGCCTCTGTGTCGTTAGAAATGTTATCCGTCCTCTCACACACTGTTAAGTTGCTCTTTACATACATGGCAACTCCTCCACCCCGGCGGCCTCTTCTGTCTCTCCTAAACAATTGGTATCCTGTTAGGGCTACCTCGCAATCCCCCACGTTCTCTGACAGCCACGTTCCTGTTATTGCTATAACATCAGGAGGATTATCGGTTACTTGTATTCTCAGTTCATCAAGCTTGGAAAACAGACTCTGAGCATTGGTGTAAAAGAATTTAAGTTTGCAACATTCGACAGTAGTTCGTTCGGTTTGTCTCGGGCTTGACAATATTATGTTGCTACCGCCATCATGATGATTGGCTGGTTCCAAAGCAACATCGCATTCATCTGTATTACTCGTCCCCTGAGAATTGTCAAGTTGCTTTCTCCTGCTGCAAGTCTCCTCTTCAGCTCCGTCACTAAAACGCGGCGTTTCAGACGTTCCGCTGGAGAATAGTCCGGTTGAAAAAAACTTCCTTGTGAAAGTTTTGGAGGCAGCTTTTCCTGAACAGAAGTAAGCTAGCCTCCTCTTTACTGCCCAGAACTATTTTCAGAGGTCGTGGCCGCACAGTTTCCGATTGTTCGCTCACCTTCTTTCTGATCATGAAGGCTGCGTGAATAGTTACCCTTTCATTCGAATTAAGCATTTTGTTCAGAAGGTGTTGAAGCATATCGAGGTCAGCGGAAATCCTCTCCTTCGGGGTAGGAGCATTCGACTCCGATAGGCCCTGAACGACTATGCAGTGCTGACGATCCAGGGGTTCATTTGTTCTGTTTCCGGCGGCCTTGTCAGCTGAAGGTCTCAGGAGATCCACCGGAGTCATCTGGGATTTTATACTCTTGTTGTGGTGCTTACCCATTCCATCTTGCCACGAGCTTGTTTCCTCACTTCCAACCGAGGGTACTACTGAACACGCGGAATGGCTGAGGGAAGTTGATGGGTCGCTTCGGTTGTCTTCCGTAGAAACAGGAGACTCCGTTGCTATTTGTCATCGTCATTAGTACCAGCGTACTTGCACTGAGGTTTTCCACAAACCTTGTTCTTTGGCTGTTTTGGAGTTTTGTTCTTCCCCTTTGTCTTGCTGACTCTAGCGCTGTTAACCGCGTTTTGCCTACCATCGTTCGTTTGCACGAGTTCCTTTAGAGCAGCCAGCTCTTTTTCAAGTTTTTGGACTTTCAGAAGAATATAGGAGCACCCAATGCACGACTCGTCCTCGTAACTAACAGATTTTGCTGTGGTTACGCTTTTAGCGCGCTTTGCGGGCCCCTGGTTGCAACTGTAAAGTGAGCGGGCGCTAATCCTGGGAAGCAAGGCCATGTCAATAGACTTTTCTTCATGCATAATGCCGGTCCTGGTCGTGGAACTACCAAAAAGTTGCTCTGTGTCCATGAGTTTCGTGTGTTTGTAAGTTTATATTCGCCACTGGCGGATTCAAATAATGGTTTTAATGAAGCAGTCATGCACACAATAATAACTCCTTATTTTCCGAAAGCCATCGCAATAATGGGTTCAAGGGCCATCATTTTTTGTTATAAAGGGAGAACTTAAAACTTGACCCTAAAGAAAACGAAGGTTTGTCCAGGACTCAGTGCACCGTTGATGTGACCGATAAAGTTACTCTAGCGACCATAAACCAGAATGTGAGGAAAAACATTAAGATGTCTGAAAAAACTTCGCTTCAGAGATCAATGTTTACAAGAACTCGTTCGTGTGCACTAACAGCAGGGTATAGTTCAGAGTGGGCAACTGCGCAACCGGATAAACACAGTTAGATAGGCAAACTAGATACTACCAAGGTAGGAAATCGTTAGCCATCGAGAATGATACCTATTCACACTCATTTCACTTCATCGGAATGTGGATAACTTATGTAGAGCGTTATACAGTTTTTCAGTAGTTGAACAAAAGTGCACATACTGAGGCCATATTCCAAAATCGCGTTTGGTTTTTATAGATAACAGAACGTCAGCGGACCTAGTCAGTCGATTATAAAACTATAACAGTTTACTGTCTGATGTGAGTTAGTGTTTTCACCTCGTTTACGTTCACTATTCATCTGTGGCAGAAAATGCTGGACTCAGGGGTTCGTAGTGACTAACCAATAACGACAGTTCGACCGTCGATGCCGACGATGTCCACCGTATACTCCAAAGCAAGGCGAGAGCAGGCATGGCGACGTTTTGGTCAGTATTTGTCATTATATTTTAAGGGTAATAGGCAACGCCTTTGAAAACCCTATTTTAAACGGTACATGCAATATCTAACTTTAACCAAACATGGTAGGAGCGTTCTTTCCTTAATTTGGTTTTTATTATGCTCAGTATTATTGGTTGTCTACAGAGGAATGAGCTCTGAACATTCACGATTTTCCCATTCAATATTCTTAGGTTTTTCTCACCGGAATTGTACCTTCTAAGGAATTCGGCCCTGAGTTCCCTCCATTTCGCCCGTTCGGCCGGTGAGAAATCCCGCAGAAAAAGCTGTTAGGTGGGCATCTTTCAGTGCGGTTTTCCTGTTTATCAGTAGTAGAGCTTGTTCCTCATTTTCTAGAATAAATTTAATGGTCTATGATGGCTCGACTCGCCCTTCGAATCCTTTATTGGCCCTATTCTGAAAGCTTCCGAGACGGCGATATTCTCGTTCTCTTGTAATGGGGATTTGAGGTATTGCTGGAATAATCCTATATCGTGGTTTATTCTGTTCTTTGGGACGTCTGAAGAAGACTCAGACATACCTTTTACTATGATGCATTTACTGCGATCAAAATTAGGGTGTGTTCGTTTAAATTTATACACAGAATCTGCATCACGAAAATTTTTGTTGTCATGCATAAATTATTTTATAGTGAAAGCAGACATGTACAGTATCTTCCTCACGCTCCTTCCACACCTGGACCCAGCGTCAAGACACAGTCAAGAAGAACGGAGGCGGAAGTACCGATGACACTCTACGCTCCTTGTGCACATGGTTTATACTATAAAGGGGATGTCATGACAGTTTGTTTAGGTGAACTGAAGAGGGCTCAGTTTCCGGGAGACGCAGCTGTGCTGGAGGGGATATCCATCGCTTTTATTGCATCGTACTATCCGTCATCGATTCATCAATCATTGCCTCAAAGAAAACCCCCAGTATTAATAGTCAAGACCGAATGGAATAAACCGTTACATTTGTTTTTTGATCGGCGTGTTGAGTGAACGTTTGTATTCCATCCTAATAATCTAGCTCATCATCGTATTGCCTGTTTTTTATTCTATCATTACCTGGTAAGATGATAGTTGGTAGCCCTCCTGACACCGCAAACTCAAAGCTGCCTGTCAATCGGGACCGGTGGTATTAGGGGCTATACGGGTGGGACAATTGAGTAGACGGGTAATTGGCGATTGTAGTATATGCTAGGAATTAACGCTCCTGGTAAAGTGGAAGCCTAATTTAGATTAGGTGAAAAATACAAGGAAGGTATGGAAATGAGCAAGGAGACTTTGAACGGTGTGTGGAATAAATGCATCCTAGCCTCAGATTGGAAAGAAAAGCAAGTGAAAGCGAACAACCAATGGGAAGAAGGCAACTGGTCCGAAGGTCATTCCGCAGTGTAAGCGATAGAACTCCATCCAACATAAAGGACAGAAGGACACGAGAGTCAAGCAGCGGCACGTTGAACGCCACAACGCAAGCCGGGTAAGACTTTTATGCGAAAAATTGGTTTGGGCGGAAGAGAAAATCCGCAAATAATGAGGCAGTCGAAAGCTACCTCTGCTAATGAATGTTGATAAAAGATAAGCCTCATTGGCATCGTTACCGGTGCCAATCCGCCCAAGATAGTACCTCTACAATGAATGAGGCAATCAAGAGCTACTTCTTCTTACGAAAGTTGATGTAAGGAAAGCCTCATTGTCATCGTTACCGGTGCCCAGGATAGTACCTCCACAATGAATCTGGTACAGGTAATACAGCGCGCATGCAACTTTAGAAGCATAATGAGAACGTAATCATAGCTACTGAAATCAAGCCAGTAGGTACAATTGTGGATTCTGTGGGCACGGTTGCCAACTGCCTCCTCGAATGAAATTTGACATAGGGTAAGCCTCATTGTCATCGTTACCGGTGCAAATCTGCCCAGGATAGTACTTCTGAAATGACTGTGATACAGGCAATACAGCGTACGCGTGAATTTAGAGGTTAAATGAGAACGCAATCACAGCTACTGAAGTCGATCCAGTAGGTACCATTGTGGAGTCTGTGGGCACGGCTACCAACTAGCATCTTACCCATTACCTCGTATAATGCAGAACAAACATTTCTCGAAGGTGAGAAAGACTGGTCAGACAGTGATACTGAAAAAGAGGAAGAATACATTGAAATCCGCTGGGACTTCCCTCTTGCTACATCAGCTATCCTTGGATGTTATAGTAGTTACAGCGACAGACATGAGCGCACCCCTACCGAGTTAGTGAGCATATTCATTATCAGCCTCTAGTCCACTAACTTATTAACATACGGTTAAAAGAGGGGATTCCAAACCCGACTTCGGCGCGCAGAATCCCA